ACCAAGAAATACACAAATATCAGTAATAACCACAAATAAAAAATAAGTTGCAAGTACGAAGTTCAATTTAGAAGAGATAATTTAAAAATAAGGCCAAAAACTTAAATTTAAACAAATTATGCCCAGGCCACACGTTGAAGGGTGTCACTTTATAACGTGAGGTTAGTTCGGCGCTGTAAAACTCAAACCCCGCCGCATAAACGGCCAGCTAGCTCAGATTCTTAATTAAAAGAAGGGCTCGAGATGAGAATCTTCCACAGCGGTTTGTTCGTTTGGGCATATAACATAAGTTTTTGATCTTTGGTAGTTACTAGAAATGATTAGTTGAGCGCCACCCAATTTTGCACAAATTCTGACCTCTCCTGTATAGAAATTGGGAAAACACAAGAGAGCCAAATAATAAATTCACTACGAGCAATTCTGATTTATTAATCCTGACAAAACGGTGCAGGATCGGCAAATAAAATGTATCTTCAATACGACAATAACAAATACTTTAAATGACAAAAATAATCCCCAAATAAATTCATGAACACTTCCCTAATAATTACGTTACCAGCCCCCTACAACAATGATCGAGCAAAAATGTAGTTAAGATTTCAATGGATTCAAAGATTGAATTAAGTTAACCCGAATAACAACTCATATAGGCAACACTGGGTACAAGTAAATTAAAAATCTTACCTTGAATAACACATACGCTGTCTTCTCCGAAAAAGAGCTCTCCTTCGAAGTTCCAGTTCTGTAACACAAAAACAAACCCCAAGCTACAACGCTCGGAACGATTATATGAGCCGGAAGGGCCAAAAAAAATAGCTTACTCGTAGCCGGCTCGTTTACCCATACGTTAAATACAGGTGCGTTGCTCTTGAAGAGAGTCACGACCTCAAACACTTGATGCGAACAAAATACAAAGCTCCAATCATAAATCGTCGGAAGGTTACACTAGATTAACGGTATTGAAGCAAATAAAAAAAAGGTTGTGTAAAAGATCGTATCTTCCGAAAATTCCACAATCAGCTGGTCGCTCCCGGTATCGTTTAGGTGTTAGCGCTTATCTACTCGGTGGTACGCCGGATAGCTGCCGGCAATCAACAGGTGTTCGTACTCCGGAATATTCGCAAGATGCAAATTCATTTACATACAAGGATTCGTCTGTACAAGGATTGATCTACTACATGGATTGATCGGTACAAGAATTCGTCTACTACCTGGACCCCCTAAAAGTAATGAAGATGTAACACTCCCTTAACGAGATTTTTAATAACATACCTGAAATCGTCAGGAGGGTAATGAAAAATACTTAAATCAATGAAATATGGAAATTATCCAAGAGGTTGTGAATCTGAAAGAATTTTAGATAACATAACGTAAAAGAAAACCAACGCCATTTCACTTACATGTAGGTAGGGCGATGAACTTCCACCAGATATAGCCTCACAACGGAGAAAACGGCTTCTGAGTTACTCTACTCGACAACGCCAATAAACAGGTAAAATTGCCAGAGATTTTACGTGAATGATGGCAAATATTACCCACTGGTTTTAGAAGAATTCACAATGCCACGCTCTACAAGTACAACCTCGTTGGCTTTAAAACGGAAATGAAGTGAAAAAATTACGCGATTCTGCGCGAGGAAAGAAGCACGCGTACAAGTGACGCCATCTCACCTATATCCTGCCTAACGTAGCAAGCGGTAATTTTGAAATTTGAATATAAATAAACTAAACTGTTACACCTAGCTCAATTGGACGGGTTCTTCTGTAACACATTTATATGTTAATCCTTAATTATACTTATTTAATTAGTCGGAATGAAATCTCCAAATTCGGTATTCCAAATTACCAATATAATGGTAAAATGCAACTCAAGGTCACGGCCTTTTTGAGGTAACTCAAGTTTCTCGACGGAATCAAGTAGTCCGTGAAAAGTTGAGGTGACATTCATACGGTCAAAATTTGATTCATACGCTCCTCACTCTAAAATTTGGAAAAAAACTATAAAAGTGTAGGTACCTGTAACACACGTGTATGTTTGGTTGCATATCGTAAGCAACCTATGACAACGTCGCATTTGTATATACACGGCGGCATCACCACTCACCCGTATGAAGTCACGCAATAAACATGCTTCCTAAAACTATCGCATTTATTATCACAATCAGCCGTAAATAGCATAAGCGTTACAGTACCGATGACGTCACTAACAGAGAGTGCAGCGCGCTTTTTTTGGCGAAATTGAGCCAAATAGGGCGCAGAAACACTCGGGAGGCATCTTAAACTCCTAAAATTTCGGTTCGCACATATTAGAAGCCTTTCGTCGCTTCGAAAAGGCGTATTTTTTCAAAATGAGAAATTTCCGCCATTTTTATTAATAATAATTAAATACAAAAGTCAATTTCATGGACGAGTCCATGTTAATGTATACGACGGTAAGTTATAGGTCCTGATTTTATTCGGGTGAAAATTAGTGGAAATATGAAGAATTTAAGGGGAGTAGTTTCCGAAATTGTATTTTTATAGGAATAATCCTTAAGCTTTGGGGTTGGTAAATATCATGGAGGATGCCTTTTAACTCCAAATATATCAACATACTACGTCAGTAACTGAAATGTAATCGTCGAGACTTAACGTTAATTTTATCACTAATAATATGTAGAACTGCGCCGCCTTCCCTTAGACCCGCCTCTCTACCTCCAGGGTGGCAAACGACGTTTCCCAACGGCCACACTTCACTTTTTGCACACCAATTCCGAGTGAGTCGAAGGCGAGTTCGATATAGGTCGCGCTCGGCCTTAGACTCGCCTCTCTACACAAACACTACACTTTTTCAAACATGCATCAACCTAATAAAAAACGGCGATCTATGCGAAAACGTAGAACTATACAAAATAGTGATTTACTATACCATTCTTTTCCACCCGAAATTCGCAGATCAAATGGCGAGATCATGTACTTGGCGAGAAAGTCAGAATAGAGGAGCGGCGAGTATGCACGGCGGCATGCACTTATGTAATGTGCAAGGCGTTCATTACATCCGATTGTCCGGATATGGTGTCCATTGTGAACTATAGCGACTACTTCCTGCAGTGGGAAAAGGAGCAATTATTGGCGAGGGCGGAATTTGAAGTTTGGCGATATACAGGTGAATGTTATAGTCGCTCCTAGAAGTGACGTGATTGGATTTCTAAATGATTTTTCTTCCCTCGTTTCTTCTCTTAACTTATCTTGGTCAGTTTACATCTTCCTTTCCCATTTCTCTTGATTGGATTTCAACTCCTGTCGCACGTCTCCGACAATCCCTTTCCCTCTTCCTGTTGCTTCTATTTTGTGGTAACCGTCTAGTCTAGTACACTCTTTTGAATTTATCGTTGTTCTTTTTGCTGTTCCATTCTCGTTTCTCAATCAACGCCTTCATCGTGCTTGCTTGTTGCTGTATATTTCTCCTCTTGAATATCACTGACTGGCGGTTTCTTGTTTTACGTGCATTATTGCTTCTTCACTTGCTCGGGGTTACTCCTGTTGCATTTTCTTCACCCCCTCCAACATTTTCATCTTGATTTTCCAAGCTTCCAAAAATGTTTGGCTTTCTTGTGAAAACCAAGTTGTCAGTTTGATCTGTTGTAATTTCTGGTGCGCAAAGGCGCCGACTTAGGTGTGGCCGAGCACTTTCAGCCCCTCCAATATTTATACTGGAGGGGCTCAGCTCCCCTAATTCTGAATAAGTGACAATTATATACCGTATTCGTATTCGTGGTTTCTTACACCAAATCTTGAAACTGCATAATCAGCTTTAGACTCAACAATAAACCTTTATACCTCTACCTCAATGCAAATATGCAATAACAAACCGTCCCAAGTAAGCAGGAAACCGTTGACACTTCTAAGAAGCAATAATCTGACTCCTGATGTGACGTCATAGTTTTTCTTTCTGAGATAAAGGATAAAGATAGGTACCTGCACCTTACACCTACTACGATATAAGTGCATTATTTAAAAATGCAAAAATTCGTACTTGCTGGTTTTAGTTAAAAGTCGACGGTTGTCGGTTAGGGTTCAGTCAAAGTCAATAAAAGTTGTTATAAAAATGTTTTTTTTTACTTATACCCGTAACCCGATACCCCTATGCAGGTACGTAAAAATGTTTGGGCCCCCCCAAAAATTTTGTCAAGTCGGCGCCTATGCTGGTGCGTTTTTTTATTTGAATTAATTTTTCTAAAGGCTCCTTGAAACCTAACCATAAAATTCCCTATACCATTTACCTTCGTATCCCCCTGAATTCAGAAATTGTTAAAAAATGTCAATCCAGTTTCAGTAGCTTTAAAAACTCCGAAACCTTGTTTATAATAATATTTACTCCTGCACACTCTCCCGTATATTTAAATAAATTTACCTAATGAAAATATAATTAAATAAATTGAATTGCTCATTGAAAGTGAATTTTTAAAGACGGTTGATTTCCAGATCAGGAACAAACTGGGCTTCAGGTTTCTCGAAATTTAATACTTGAATTTTTGCTTATTCACCAGTGTTCTCCAGTAGGGAGAATTACCACAGCTTACTTAAGCTGTGGAATTACCCTTATACCCCTCTTAATAACTAGCAACAGCGCGCATTATTCAGAATCTATTAACTCCCCATATACACAAGGGAGGTGCACAATTTTGACTAATAAACTTGTTTTTTTATCGCAACTAGCAACTCCAAATATAGCGCAAGGCTATGTGCTGTACGAGTACTTTTTAACCACAACGCTTTCATGATAAAAATTTATCATTACTCCAACCTTAGAGAAGGAAAGAGTGAGGAGTGATAATAATGATCGTAAAGTGAAGCCCACATTTGGTTGTTATTTCACCGAAAACTAACCTAATTTATACCTGTGAAACGATATACTTTCGTGTGTTTTTTGACTATCACTTCCGTGCACTACAATGTAGGTACAATTGTCCAATAATGTTTTTAATCGCACATTTCGAGACTTAAGGATCGCATAAACATAAAAATGAAAAATTAAACAAACTTTGGCTCCGAAAATATGGCCGCCCCAGGCTTCAACGCGCAGCATTGCCCTTGATAGGATATCATTTCCCTTTCTTTCATAGTCTATAACAATGGACTCGAAATATCCGCTAAGTTATTCATAGTAACTTTTGTGAACTCGCTTGACATCTTTTAAAACTGGAAACGAGACCGAGGTATTTCGCTGATTTTGTTTCGTTAAAAAAAAGTCTAAAAATACAACTCCAATTGATGGAAATTATCACAAAGATTAAGGTCACCGGTAGAATTGCGTATTGCGTATCTTGTTTACAAAAAGCTTTATTCGATCTCTCTGAATAAGGTCAGTACTCAGTAGACCTACTAGTTAAAAATGAATCAAGCAGTACGTTTCATAAGGTTTAATTTACAATCACAAAGAGAATTTTTGTACATGAAAAGAAGATATCTTAAGGATTTTAATTTTAAAGAAAACTGCCAAGTGCTGGACGTTGGATGTGGACCTGGTGACATAACGAGGCATGGATTACTGCCACTGTTACCGAAAAGCACTAAAAAGTTGATGGGTGTCGATATATCTTCTGATATGATCGACTTTGCGAAACAGTTCCATCAAGATGACGACAGGATTTCATTTGAACGGTTAGATATCGGCACCAGCAGCATTCCCTCTCATCTACTGCAAAGTTTTGATCATGTATTTTCTTTTTACTGTCTTCATTTTGCACCAGATCTTCGGTGAGTATTTTTACCACGTTGTTCTAACTAATTACGTATATCCTAGAAAAGCAATTTCTAACATTCATAAAATGTTAAAGCCAAAAGGAGACATGTTCGTGAATGTAATATCTTATCAGTACTTGTTCGACATTTACGAGCAGCTGCTAAACACACAAAAATGGCACCCATACGTTCATGACTACAAATCTAGAATGAGCCCATTTCAAAATGGTAAAAATTACAAGCACGATTTTGAAAACGTTTTAGGGGATCTTGGTTTTATTATTAGTCACTGCATTGAAGAACGAAAAGTATTCCCTACTAGCAGAGACAATTTTGAGGGTGTACTCAACCCATATTCTTGCATTTATCTAACTAATACCTAATATTGTAGGGCTTATGAAAGCAATTAACTACGTTGATGTACCCAAGCATTTGGAAGATGAGTTTGCCTCTGAACAATGCAACGTCATGCGAAGCACAGACAAAGTATTCATTGATGAGTATGGAGAAGAGCAGTATCATTGGCAATACACGTTACTCACTGCACATGCTTTTAAAAGATAGCATCCGTCAATAAGCTCACTTTGTAACATCAAGCAAGACAACGTTGCCCTGTCAACTGAAAAACTAATTGCAGCATTTCAATGATAATATATTTCACAAAAGCAATAGCGTACTTACTCTCTGCCAAAGATCTACCTCCTTTCTTTCGCAACTCGGTTCAGAGCCCTGTCCTCTCAATGAAGGATAGGACACTGTTTATCCTAAGTTGCTTCACCCTCCCCGATCTCCAAGGAGTTCATGTCTGTCTCTGATCAAGGCGTCACAATGACAGACCACAAGCTCGGTAGTTTCATCTGCCTTTTCACAGAACCTGTGCGTGGGCTCCTCCAAAGCCCAATACTGTGCAGGTGATAGTTGCCCATTCAGTACCCCATAAAGGACACCGGTAATATTCCCTAATCTGGGTTCTATTCAGTTTTAGAAGCTTAGAGGAGACCCATATTTGCCAAGGGGTCCTCTTAAAAAATCCCTGGACTGTCTGATTCCGGTTGCTTGTTGCCGCTGAACCTGGAATTGAATGGTCATTCAGTCATGTTCCGCTCTCCTTCTATTCGTAAATACATAAGTAATAGTATATTAACTTAACAGCTTTAATTTTAATTTGTGTACTTATTTCCATGCTTTCTGGTTAAATAGAAATAGCCTTGAGCAAGATTTCGCCAGAGAACATGTTGAATAAAGACGATTTATTATCATTATTATTATTACTTATTAGGAAACGCGCTCACCGAAAAAATTCCATACAATCACTGGAGGGAGTCAACATAGCTGGTCTACTATTGTAGACCACGCGTCTGGTCTAGGGTTAACATCCTCTCTAAATATCTCACGCGCTGGAATAAATTCCGTTTTCTTCCCTTCCGTACAGCCGCCCCCATCATGCAAACCGGAACATACCTCTAGTATCACACATGACACACGTAGTGCAGTAGTGTAGTTTGTTTTGAGACATTTGGAATGAATTCAGGTGTGTAATTGTGGGAAATTTAACACACGCCGAACTGGTAAAGTTATACTTTTCGTATTAAAAGAAATGCCACCTTGAACGTGCTGCTGTAGGAGTACCGCCTATAAGTTGTCGAACAAAATATTATGGCTGTAATAAAAAGTGGCGCCTTCTATACTTCGCTGTAATTTTTTAGAGACAGCACCTTGTATGTTATGACTTTAGAGGTAGGTACGCTAGCCACATCTTTTAATGTTGGCAGCTCTGGCGCAAGTGCTCAACCTGGAAATTGACAGTCAAAAATGAATGAATCCCTATAAAGGTTTTTGTAAATAGATTTATTAATTAGATTAATTATGCTTTTTCTATATAACTTTAGTCGAATTTAGTTAACTTTTAATAAATCGGATTCAAAATGGTGTGCAGAGAATTTATCCAAACCGAATATCCACTGCACTGGTGCGTGTGGAACAACCAACACTCGGAACTAGAAACGCAACTATCTCAAAAAATTGTACGTCCCTACGCTTGTCTTACTCACTATTAATTAGGGAGAGTTTCAGCACGATGTAGAAAAACAAGATAATCGTGGTCGTACACCGTTAATGCTCGCAGTAACCCTTGGTCACCTGGAGTCGGTACGCTCCCTTTTACATCACGGAGCTAACGTTAATTGCGACAACCCCGACGGATGGACAGGTTGGTAGATTGCGCGCGAATGGTGTGTTACTGGTTACCTTTGTAGTCGTGCAGGAGGCCGTGGCAACGGGCGATCCCGAGTTATTACACATGGTATTAGCGGAACGCGATTTTCAAAGATACTCAAACAGAATGGCAGGTATACCGGAATTGCTGCAGAAATTGAAGCAAGCGCCGGATTTTTATGTTGAAATGAAGTGGGAATTCACCAGCTGGGGTGAGATTTCTTCAATCAATATCAAAGTGTTTCTATTTGATCTGTTTCTAGTACCGCTTGTGTCACGTATGTGTCCAAGTGATACGTACAAGGTGTACAAGCAGGGTGCTAACGTGCGAATAGACACGACTTTATTAGGTTTCGATCATACCAGCTGGCAGAGAGGCAATCGCAGCTATATCTTTCAGGGCCAAAGTAAGTACAGCCGCCAACTTTTCCATTTATAAAGAATTGCAAAACAATTTTCTCAGACATTCACTTTTTTCCCGCTATTCGTGGAAATCGCAGCTACGTTTACAAATTAAACAGTTCGGGTAAAAGGCGTAGGCTAGTGCTCTGAACTGTTTGCTAAGTCTTCTCTTTATTTTTATAGACTGACAGATAATGTTACTATTTTAAAAACAATCGACATGTTTCTGTCTTTTAACCATAGAACGTGTGAGTGTGAATAGGAAAATAAGGATTTTTTCTTCTGCGCAAATTGTACAGGGTGATTTGGGAGGAAATGAATGTAGAATTGGGGGTATGGAATTACCCCCAGGAAAAAAACCAGATTTAACATTCCTTTTCTTACACTTATAAAATCAAATTTTCGTGCGCTGGGGAGTACTCAGTACCCCTTAACACCCCTCCGTGTTACGTTCTCCCTCAAACTGTTGAGCCCTAAACTTATGCTCGAGTCTACTTTCATTTACATCATTCTGTTAATAGTGAAAGAGAAACTATACTGCAATCATTATAAGAAGGTAGTAGATGGCGCTGTCTTTGAAGATCGACACACACAGGAAAAATATAAAACGGCACAAAATTTGAGGAATATAAATATAAATTAAACGATATCAGGAAACAGCCCTAATTGAAATGCAATAAAATGTCATTTTAAATTGACTGAACGGCGACAATAATAGCAAATATTCCCAGAAGTGCTTTTTAAACCCCCCCCCCCTCCCTCCCCCGGGACCCTTGTCCCTTCCCCACTAACGTGAATCAATTTAAGAATTGTATCCGATGTATGAGTTATTAGGAGCTTTTCATATAGTAAGTATAACATTTTGAGCTTGATCTTATTATGGGGTGACCGAGTCTACTTGGATTCACCCTCACCCCCCTGTTTGGAATTACTTTTATCACATTAAATTTAGTACTGGAATAGACTTCTTTAGTGTGACGTCAGTCCGCCATTTTTGTTAAGTTGGTCAAGGTTTACTTTCCAAACAAATTTTGTTACACAGTGTTTTTACTAGTAGCTTTGTTATTTAGTGCCTTATTTTTAATTTTAACGGGTTTTTGTGCATTCGTTCTTTATTTGTGGACTAAGGTAAGCATACTCTTTGAATAATACAATAATTTTTATGCAAATTACGAAAAAAAACTGTTTGAAATTGAAATAATGTTAAAAGTGAGGTTAGGTGTATTTGTTTATTTAAAGTTTGCAATAGATTTAATGTATAATTTAACAGATTTATTTGCTTTTTTTTAATTGTCTGCGAATGTTTATGTATAGTAGTAATGGATTATTTATAGATGGTGATGTGTTTTGTTCCCGATTGCAAGCACTACAGCGAAAAGCATGCCTGTCGGTTTTTCACCTTTCCAAAAGATGCCAATGAAAAACGAAGGTGGATAAAATTAATTAGGTTTGTAGTTAATTTGCAGATTTATTTGTTTATTGATTATAATTACCATAGGCGAGATGATAGAAACCCCACTTCTCACTCATTAGTATGTGGTTGCCATTTTAAGGACGGTAACAGAAGCAATGGACCTACAATTTTTGAAAGGAATAAGGGGAAGCTTTTTGATGTACCTGAGGTTGAAGTTAGGTAAGTACCTACTCTATGTAATTAGACCAATTGTGAGAGGAGTTGCACCTTGCACTAATTGCTGGTACAGGTGCGTACTCACTTCAGCATCTGGGCCGAATGAGCACTGTCCGCACAGAACGAGAATTTAGGACAGAATATCAAGGCGAATTGAGGGTGCAGTAAACGTCTGTCCATCAATGGAAATTCGTGGTCAATTTGTTCAGCCTGATTTATTTCTAAATTCAAGAATTTATTGTCAAACTACCAGTAATTATTGCAAGTTCGACCTCTCTCAGCACCTCTCACAACTGGTCTAAATTTTAGATATAGGTTACTGCCGGAGAAAATCAGAGAATCATGTTTATACCCATGGGTTTTTGACAAAACATAAGCACAAACTGCAAATTTTAATGGTAAAGTAAGCAAAATCTTGTATTGAAAGAGATGCCATCATTTTTTATTATACATCTGTTTGTGAAATGAAGTTCACCTAAAAATTTATATCACATTTTGCTGCTTAAGATGTATTAACCTAGGTATTAACAGTAAACATCCCAAAATAGTAAATTTTGAATTGTTTTCAAATGTGTTACTTAAATTAAAAATTGTTGAGTCAATTTGCCACGTAACAACATCCCTGATGCGTAGCATGAAGGATTGGGAGTGGAAAATTGACGAGAAGCAGCACAATTTGCCAAAAAAGTTAACGAAAGTTTAAATATATCAACCTTTCAGGCACAGAAAGAAACAGCAACCAAGAAGTGCTTCACCAGCAGTTGCTGGGCCATCATGGCTACCTGATCCTGTACCATTGGAAGAGCACCAACCTGAAGAACCTGCAAAAGAAGTGATTGAAGAAAGCTCAACATCTGCTCCTACAGTTCTGCCAGAATTCTCAGCTATGCTGGAAGCTCAAGTTTATTTTCTAGAAAAAGAAAACAAAGAGCTAAAAGAAGCACTAGAGAAGTGTGCAGGCAAATTATCCTTTGCAGCAATTGCAAATACAGATCATTTAATTTCTGTATATACCGGAATCCCAACCAAAGATATTTATTTGGCTCTATATTCTTTAATGGAAAACCACGAGTTAAATTATTATTATAAGTGGAATGTAGTAACAATACCAAAAATTGATCAATTGTTAATTACTTTAATGAAGTTGCGCTTAAATTTACTGCTGGACGACCTCAGTGTTCGATTTGGGGTTACAAAGGGGACTATTTCCAACATCGTAAAAACGTGGATGTTTGCATTACACGAAGTGCTATTTAAACACTTTATGGCAGAAGTTCCAACAACCTCAAAAAATAAATGCTGTTTGCCTAGCTCCTTTAACTCCTTCACTAACTGCAGGATGATTTTGGACTGTACAGAGATGGCATGTATTCATCCACAAAATATGGAGAAGCAGAGAGCAACATACAGCAGCTACAAACATAGAAATACGTTGAAAGGGTTAATAGGTGTAGCACCCAATGGAGTCATAACTTATGCAAGTAAGCTGTATCCTGGTTCAATATCAGACAAAAAAATTGTGCAAGATAGTGGAGTATTGAAGGTATTTCAACCTGGAGATCTGATTCTTGCAGACAAAGGGTTTTTAATTGCAGATCTTTTACCACAAGGAGTGCATATTAACACACCACCATTTTTATGTTCGGCACAGTTTACACCAGAACAGGTGATTATGACACGAACTATAGCACGAGCTAGAATTCACGTCGAAAGAGCCATTAGTAGAATAAAGTGCTTTAGAATACTGAATATGATTCCCCAAACACTTATTCCACATGCGTCCATTATTTTTCAATTGTGTGCAGCAATAACAAATTTACAGTTTCCCTTAATTAAAGAGGTTGGAGAAATGTATTTAGAATAAGTTATGGTATTTTTATTAAGGTGTTTAGTCATTTTTATGTTACTCTTATAGATTTTAGAAATAGGTATTTAGATTTTATGTTCCATATTATAGCGATAATTTGTTAATAAGATATTAGATTGAAGGAATAATACAATGAATATATACATATATAATAAGTAAAGGTAAAAATAAATGTTTAAAATTTTGAATTTTCTATTAAATATAATACATAATGCTGTAAATAAAAATCTTTTAGTGTTTCAAAATTTTCTTCCCAACTTTCTTCTTTATGTATTTCTTTAATAATTAATTGTTTTGGCGTCCATATAACTAAATAGCATAAATTGCGTTTTGTTAATGCCAATGTCCCTTGAATTTGGGCATAATAATCATGGTCAACATTGACGAGAATGTCGTGATTGTCAGTCAAGTATATAATATACTTTTTGTCTTTTTTCAGCTCTTCTAATAAATCCTTATCCCTAAATTTATAGGGGCATTTAACTTCGACTATGGCATCATCGTCCACCAATCCATCAGGACTCGCTCCCAAAAATCCACAAGAGTGAACCCAAAGCCCTGTGGGAGTGACTTTACGATCATAGGCTTCGCAAAACTCTTTTATGGCAATTGTTTCGTGATTTTTGCCCCACTGAATAGACTTTACACCTTCCAAATTGTATGATTCTAAAAATACAAGATAAATGTTAGTTTATCACAAAGTAGTTGTTTATTATACCTGTTAAGCGTCTAAATAGAGATATCGGAAATTTACCACCGCGACTGCCTCTTGCATAGGCCTTTAAAATGGCTCCAAAGTTACTTGCTGTTAGGCGATTTTTCCTTGCCGTAAGCCAACTTGCATTTGTTGATTGCCCTGTTGTGGCCCGTACAATAGTTTCAATGGATGTATCATCCAAAAGTAATTGTGATAATAAAAAATTAGTTTTATCCAAAGCATTTAAATAATGCTCAGAAAAAACAATGGATTCAATGTCCAATAAAAAACTCTGTTCTGATGGAGGTTCAGGTTTCAAAAGCCAACTAAAACCAACTGCTCCTCCGTATTGTTCTAATTGAGAACGAAAATTTGATGTTTCTTCAGCAGTCGGTTTACGATTTGTTGTCTGGTGTTCTCGGACTGGATAGTAAAAATCAACTGCATGCACTTCTTCTTTTTGCTTCATCACATTCCACTTGCATGCTACATCTGTTACTGATATATTGTCACGAGCAAATACACAAAGCGCAGCCATATGATGGCACAAGTACAGCCCCCTCGGGCATGTACATGTAGCACTCTCTATGTGCCTACTAGCATCCAGTTGGATCTTAAAAATGGACACAAAAAATTAAAATGATGTAAAATTTTATTATTGAACTTACATTAACAGTATAAAATCGTTTTCGCATGCTGGCAAAGACTTCACCGTTTATGCATAATAATTCGGCATTAAATTGGTATCTTTTAATCCGATTAGACTTAACCGAATTTTCACCCTTACTCAATAGAGTAAGCTCTTCCTTAAAGAACTCAGCAATAGCTCCTAACAGTAAAACATGGGCCATCCTGTAAAACAAAATTTAAAAACCGACATTAACATAACCTATACACATAAGGTTTTTAATTTTTACTTAGTTTTTCCATATAAAACAATGACCAGAAGTTATAAATTATACTTGCCTGATGTTAATGCTTTATTTTTTAATACTCTTCAGTGTATAAATTACCTAAAATGCTTTAAAACTAATAAAAACGTGAAAACTCCCAGGTTAAACTTCAATTGTTTGGAAAGCGCACCTTGACCTTTTTAACAAAAATGGCGTTAGTGACGTCAACACTAAACGAGTC